ATCCATCCATTATCTTTTACCCGCTTCTTCCGTTTTGGGTCACAGGGGTCACCCATGTCCAGCAATCACTGTGCGAGGGGCGGGGTACACTAAACAATAATAATGTAAAATAATACAGTGTATTAAACAGCAGCCTGAACATGAGTCTGTGGTGAGCAGATGGGTATGAATACAGCAGCTTATGGGTAAGAAATCAGCAGCATGGATAATCAGCAGCATGGATAAAGTGTCAACCAGAGAAATCACTGAAATGCCACTTTAATTGGAGATTTAAGGATTCATGAGTCTAATAGCTTAGAAGCTGTTCTTGTTTTGCGTGACACTGTTTAGTTCATCGTTGGCTCAACAAGACAACATTCATGTTACCATGTACTGTAAATGTGTGTGTGCTCTGAACATCAACCAGTCATCGTGCTGAGGCTGCAGATGCAGCATGTTGACTGGGTCCAATAGTTTGCGCTCAGCATCAGTGGCATAAACTGGTTTATATTCGGCACACATAGCCATTAGCCTAGCCTGGACAAAGACTTTCGCCTCCTGTCAGTGTCGTACCTCAACACTGTTAGAAACAAATTTTGCTTTTGTGTTTTTTAGATCTCTTCTCAAGGCTTGCCGTCAGAACCCTACCCTCCATTCCAAAACCCTCCTCCACCCGACAACGGCAACTACGAGGACCAGGCCTTCTATGAGAACCAGGTTCATGCCGGAGGTCGACCCCCACAGGGCGATCTTAATATGCACCTGCAGGGCCTCAAGTCCACTGGGAACTATGTAGACTTCTACTCAGCCTCACGGCCTTACAGTGAGCTGAACTACGAGACCAGCCACTACCCAGCCTCACCAGACTCCTGGGTCTGAAGGGACACGAGTGGAGGAGGGGGAGGAGGGGGAAGGACAGGACGAACAATGGCAAACAAAACAGAGGTGTAAGGCTTGAATGAGCTAAGAGGACAGTTTATCTCCCTCCTCATCCTCCCCGCTGTAGTTTCTGTGTAGCATTTTAGATATGACAAAAAAGAGGGGAGGGTGGAGCACAAGAAAAGTAGACACGGGGACAGGACATAACGTTCTTCTCAGAAATACCTAGGACGTTCTGAGACGGGGAAACAACGGAGCAGAAGCAACCGGAGAGCGACCACGCATGTGCATGCACGCCACCAAAGGATCTGACAGACACGTTTTGTTTCTGTGTTAAGTTCAAGGTCAAAAAAACGGAGAAGAGCAGAAAGACGCCAGGGCCTCTGAAGGCTTTTGGAAGTAAAATGTAAGAGGTGAGGGGGATGAAGAACGCAGAGGAGGAACTTGGTGGCATAAACAAGTTCAGAATCTAACAGGGAGATGAAAGAGCAGCATGGATCGGTGGACTCCGATGGGACGTTGTGTAAAGGAAGATAAAACGAGGAATGTGTCAGAGGTGCCTGGTTACAACCTGTAAATATGTGGTATAGCAACGTGGCTTGTAGTAACGTGAAGCACAAGAAGCAGAGAGCTGAAGGACTCGCAGTACATCACCTGGACCTTTGGTTTCTCTTCACGGCTTCAGCACGCCGTCCTCTGGACAGAGAACGCTTCTGGACTTTTGACCATTTGTAACACTTGGTTTTTTTTCTTCCTCTTTCTTTGGTTGTGTTTTTACTTTTTTAAAACTGGTTGTATAGTATTTGATGTACATTTACAGAGATGCATTGTGGTACCGTACATTGCACTATTTTCTGTGTCATGTTTGGCCTTTTGTCTCACCTCCTCACCTAACATCATGCACTCGAAGCTCACGTCACTTCATCTTTAATGTGAAACACTGGATTTGAATTGTTGGGTCACGGTGCTCCTTTCACCGCTAGTAGATGGTACGGCTACGAAGAAGCTGCTTGCTTTACTTTTCTAGGCTTGCTTATGTGTTTTGGCACCTAGCTTTTCTTATAGACGTCACAAGTCCTCTCTTTTTGTTCAGAGGTAGCCCTTCCTTCGAGCGACCTGTCCCCTCGTCGTGTATATAACCGTGCCAAACAAGCGTTTCTTCCTCTCAGCTGAGGGGAACGATAAGGGTGCGTTTAAAGGGTCCAAGTTGAGCTGAGGGGTTTTCAGCTGAACATCCTCGCGCTTCAAACGACGCCAGCTTGTACATGCTTTGGTTTTTCTAAACTGTGTTTTACTGAAAATTTGTCTTAACTGCACCGACATTAGGATTAAAGATTTTAAAAAAAAAAAGACAAAACACGATAATCTTGGAGGGACAATAAGATAAAGCATCACAAATGTACAAAATTAGTAGATTTGTGTGTTGTAAAATAATCAATGTTTAAAGTAAAGCAAAGTCTTTTTCAGACAGATTGGTGGCAATCCTAACTTCATGGTAGACAAATCTGTTAATAGAGTATGAATATATATTATATAAATATAAATATATTCTTTTTAATGTGCAAATGTGGATGTCACTAATAGCAGCAACATTATGGGGAAAAAGACTTGTGAAGCTAAAAAAAATATATAAAAACAGCTACATGTAGGCATTTAGTTCACACCTTTTTTAATTTCTGGTCAACACAGTGAATTGTCAACTTTGTGTAGTAATATTGCTGTGTGGAGTAGAGTAGACCAGGGCCCAGGGAACCACAACAACACCAAACCAGCCCAAAACAAGGTGCTACATTCATGAGAAGTATTACCAACATGTCTGTATTTTATCTAAGTTGTTCTCCCCAACACCTCTCTGGTGCACTGAGCAAATCTAAATGATCAGGTGTGAGTTAACTGAACTCATCATCATGTCCAAAAAGCTAAACTTGCACCTGTGAATGCATGAACATTTTGTCAATTAAGTCCTAATGGACCCTGGTCCTCCTTTACCCACTACTGTTTCTAGAGGTCATCTTCCAGTGCTTAAAAAGTGACCCATGATGCAACAGTTCCCCACAAACACACACTGGGTTTAAAAAAAAAAGAGTGAAAATATAAACTGTTCTACTGTATGTATTAGTGAGCATCTGGAAACTGACAGCGTTCTGTACGTCTTTGTGATCCTTAGGCAGAAAACCTGGTATAAGACCTGTATGGAGATAATAACGTTGGTGACCGTTTTGTTTTTATTTCTTTTCTTCTTCTTTTTTTTCATTGCTAGACCAAATGTGTTTTAAAAAGACAATTGTGAATCTTTCTATTGCCTCAAACAGATTGCAACTGCTCCAAAAAAATATAAACGGACCATTGAAGAACATCTGATTTCTTGAGAGTTTGTTGATGACTTCTTGTTGAGCACTTCTTGAAGGTTTGCAGAATGAATGCCACTTTTCATGCCAGAGTTTAGACTAAGATCATCTTGTGTCGAGAAGTTTTGGTCAAACCTTGAAGATGACATTATGCTCAATCTTACGCTGTACTGTAATATCTCTGTTAGTGCTCCAAATATGTGTTGTGAATGACTGTCAGCCACTACCACACTAAACTTTAGCTTAATAACTGTGAATTAACGCAGGTATAGTCATTTTTGTGTTGCTATTAGCTGTGGCCGCCATCACTTGTGATGTAGAGGCAATAATTACTTTTTGAGGATATCGTTCAAATTGCCCACAGATTTATAAGCTATTTTGATAAAAACCACAGTTGGATTTAACAGTTAATTACCGTACTTGCCGCCATACATTTAGCACCACCGTATAAGTCGCATCAGTCCAAATATGTCTAATAAAGTGGAAAAAAACAAATACATCTCTTCGCCATATAAGTTGCGTCTATTAAGCGTCACTGCTTATGTGTCACGTTTGTTACGTGTCGCTGCGGACACCCCAGGAACATGGGCCGGTGTTGTGCCAAAAATCGACTGGCTGCCAAATGGCGGCCGTGGGAGTGTGCACGGCAGAACTTGAACAAGAATCTAACAAGATTAACGCTTAAAAACTATTATTTGTTTGCTTGAAATTATAGCAAAGGTGTGTCTCAGTTGAACTTTTCCTTAATAAATGCACTTTGATGGTCAAATCAGTTGCATTTCACCTGGGCAGCGCAGCGAAATGCAGCTGATTTGACGTTTGCTCCAGGAGTTGTAGAGCGAGATGAAGGTGGCTTCGTATGGCAATCCCAGTGCCTCATTAATAACCACTTTTACCTATTAATGAGACACTTGGCTTGCCATATGAGTTGAGGGTTCTCTAGTGGCTGAAAATGGTAGTGTTCAATATTTTCCATGTCAAAATGAATGAAATTGTCAGATCTCAGCCAAAAATTGGGATATAAATAACCCAACAGAGCGGCTGTGGCTGAGTGGTTAGAGCAGTCGTCTTCCAATGCAAGAGTTGGGGGTTTAAATCCACCAGCAGTCACATGCCGAAGTGTCCCTGGGCAAGACACTGAACCCCTCATTGCCTCCAATGTGTTTCCCATTGGTGTATGAATGTGATCTAAGGCACTGATTAGTCTCTAGAATGATTTGTTCATTTATTTTTGTAGAGATATAAATCTAGTAGAGTGCTGTGTGAGTGGGTAAATGAGAGCACAGATTGTGTTGTAAAGCACTTTGTGTTGATCAGACAGAAAGGTGCTATATAAGTACAGTTCATTTACCATAAATATGGAGAAAAAAATGTAAATATGTCGATTCGCTGTATAAGTTGCAGGCATGCTAATTTATGCAAAAAACTGACTTATACAGCAAAAAAAACAGTAGTTTCAGGCAAGTATCTTGTCAATTTATTGCACTCAAAGTATGTGGTGTAGACAATACTCAGCTACTACCACACTAGAATTTCACTTGAGTCTGTAAAGCTGGCCAAACTGTAGTGATTTTTGTGTTTTTAAAGGTCACTTGGCTGTGGCAGCCATCTTTAACTGGGCTGAGCCAAAAGTTAAGCAATTGTAGATTTACACCCATTGCTTGCTGTCTAAAAGTTTCAATGAAATCCATCCAGTAGTTATTAGATATTTTACTAACAAAGTATTAAATTTAAAACTTAATGACAGCATTTAAAACAGATCCTGTGCATTCACTCAGCACTCAGAGTATCGTAAGTTAGGGATCAATCTCTACTAGCATGCTAAAGTTTCACTCAATATTTGCAAAACTGCCTAAGTTAAAGTAATTTTTCTAAGAACGCTTTGCTGTGGCGTCCATCTTGAATTGGTTACCTCCACAGGCCAATCACTATAGATGTTGATCTGAGCTGTAAACATTTAAACAAAAGCAGCTTACTGTCTGCTCCTATCCTTTCTTTGTAGTGCTTCGGCACAACGCCAGTAAGTAACCATGACAACTGTGGATGTGGCAGTGATTGACAGCCGTTAGAAACTCCTCCTGGCTCTTATTGATTGTTTTCACTCAGGCACAGTCTGTTTCATGGTGCAGACAGGGCATGGTGACAGTTTCATTAAGCAGGTCAAAAAGTCATCTGTATTTCAATTTAGTTCCACAGGGATTGAACCAGCAGCCTCCTTGACTTGAACAAAAACAAGTGAGCCCACGTTAAAACTGAAATGCTAACAAACTAATTATTTTAAACACGCTGATTTGCTAGGTACTTCATCATACGCCTGTTTTGTATTGAAACACTCAAATCGGTCAATCACACCTGCAGAATAGAGAGGATCTTCAAGATCTGGTGGCACAAAATGTCTAAATGTGCAGCTAAATAAAATCTGCAAGAACCACGTGATGTAAAACAACACGGAATGAAGCAGCAAGAAATGTTTCATAAAGTAAATCAAATTCATAAAACCACACCCTGAGCTGTATGACAGGAAGAGGCAGTCCTATACTGATCAGCTACATGTTCTGAAAAGTGTTCAGAGAGCAAATTGTTATAGAAATGCAAAAATTATGAGGGAAAGAAAAAAAAAAACAGACGTGGACATAACGTGCACTCTCACTCACACCTAGAGATAATTTAGAGTTACCAATCAGCCTGACATGCATGTTTTTGGTCGGTGGGAGCAAACCAGTGTCTGGAGAAACACCTCGCGTGCATGGAGAGAACATGCAAACCAAATGGAAAGGCTGGGCGGTGAACCGTCAACCTCCTTGCTGCGAGGTGACGTCACGTCGTGGCACCATAGCGGTTCATGCCAATGTTTTTGTTATATGTCTTTACATCATTGTCAGTTGTGCATCACATTGCATTCAATTCTGCAACTATTTACAAGTCCTAAAAGCAGCAGTAGCAGCTAGCTGTAGCACAGCCTGGAGCACTTCCTGCACTAAAATCATATTTCTATCATAATCCCCACCTGCAGTGAAATGGGTGGTGTAGGGGAAGAAGGTTTTGAAAACTGTTTACATGAATTGAACTGTCGATGGCCAGTATAGCTTATCAATCCAGTCAGAATAAACTTCTGTCTCCAAACTGAGGTTGTTCAAAGAGCTATCAGCAACAGGTAAGATAATTATTCATAACCTTTTCTCAGAACTCCACTACAAATAATCTGAACCAATTCATTGAAAAAAAGCAGAGGCATTGTTTTGATTTTTATTGTTTTATTGTTAAGTTTGAATCTGTGTCCGACGCTTTCTTTACATTTTTTGTCAAATGTCTGACAAAGTGCAGGCGCAGCTACTGTAAGATGGAAATAATGCTGCAGAACTGAGCCTCAGCTTTAAAAGAGAGTGAGGAGGGAACCAGAAAGCTATTCTTGTGAGGTAATTTATAATGTTGGGATGTGTAGTCAGTGTGGGGAGATTGTGTGCAGACTTGCCTCAATGCCACTGGCACGTGCAGACTGTTGTTGACCTTTGAAGGGTCACGAGTGCTCTCTGGTGGTTACTGGGGAAACTGCACAACAGGTCAGGATGGCAGCCTCTAGTCTGGAAGGTCTAGTTTGCACGAGGCTTAGCAGAAGGATTAAACTCTGCAGGTCCTGTATCTGGCTCAGGTTTTCTGTTTTTGGCACACATCCGCCACCTCATCAAACACATGCATCTTTTCCTCATGTCTGGTAAAGGACATGTTTAAGACTCAGTTGGCGGGGTTTAACAGCTGTGTTCAGAGGATCTAACATCAAGAATATCTCTGTATAATGTCAAAAAACTTAATTATCTCAGTAGTTTATAGCTCAAAAATCCATTCAGAACTTGACAAACTTTGATGAGTTGCTTTAATGACGGATTCAAAACATGTTTATCATAGCCAGCGATGGTTCTGTTGAATTCCATGTACAATACAAAACAAGCACAGACATGGCAGTTCATCATTATCCAAAACAAAATCATCCTGCGACAAACTTCTCTCCAATAAAAAAAACTATAGTAAGGTTTTGGATCACTTTAGGAGGCAAACCTGTCATTGTGGCTTCATTTTTAAGATCAAATGTTTTTAAAATGACACTTTGTTTTTTTTAGATATTTCAAAGTAAGCTTTAACTTAGTGACACACAAAGTTACAACATGTTGACGTTCAAGTATGAATGACAATGTTTCCATTATAAGGCAAGGGACACTGAAGTGAATGACAAAATGATGGCGTGGAGACTTGTCTTCTTTTTAGTGTTTCTATGGAACTAGTTGTGTGATTTGTTCAAATTAGAGCCACTGACGTGTTGAAATCCTGAGCAAATGTTTCCTGACAAGACATTCATCACTCTCCAGGGCTAAATGTCGGTGTTCGGTACCCAATGTTTGGTCTTTTGGCAGAGAATAGACCTGCTAGAGACAGTTTACTGTGGTTCAGTCCCAATTTGAGACAAACCAATAAAAATGTAGGAAAAAAAAGGAAGACAAAAAGACCAGGTACTGTAATCATTAATCATTTGTAGTGATGTAAATAAAGTCATTTTACTGTTGAAAAATAAAAGTTTAAAAAGGAAGTTTATACTTTAAAGACAAAGTGTCGGCTTTTGTATCCTAAACCTGCAACATAACCTTATTGATCATATACTGGATGGATGGATGGATGGATGGATGGATGGATGGATGGATGGATGG